AGGGGGCTGGGGTGGGGAGGGGGGCAGGTGCTCGCTGCCCCTGTTTAACCAGCTCTCACGAACTGCCCCGCTTTTCCAGCCGCCCTCTCCAGGGACCCTTCCAGCATCACCTCCTGTCCGCTCCTCCGCTGCTTCTCTGATCCTCTGCTTCTGGTTGACTTTGCAGCACTCTCTCGCGACCACTGTCCCCTCTGTGCGGAGCCTGGCAACTGTGGCTTGCCACGTTTTTGGAAAGCTCCGCTGCCCTGGCGTTATTCCGTTAGTTTTAATTACTTTAATAATGAAAAGGTCCACGATGACGGCAAGGAATGTACACCTGTGCTTTACACAATTGATGTATGTGTGGATTGTGATAGGAGTTGTATGAGCCCCTAATAAAATGATGAAAAAAGAAGAAAATTTCCAAAAGGGGAGGAGTGTAGCTTTCAACGCACACACATTTTCAGTTGATGGTTGACAGTCCTATTTGGGAAGAAATTAACCCTGGAAGTAGCATAGGGATTTGAGTTGGAAGCCCACCCTGCCAGTTGAGGTCTCAGTTTACCCCAGTTTCTACCCCGCGAAGCTCACTAAGGGCCTCCTTGCTCAACCTCTTCAGTTCCACTGCTCTGGACACACGGAGACAGGTGTCTTCTCCATGGGGACACCTAGTTTCATAGGACAACATACTCCCACTTTATAGGCTTGCAACAGCGTCCCTACTCACACATTAAAAAAAAATCATTTTATTGGGGGGCTCATACAACTCATCACAATCCATACATACGTCAATTATATAAAAAGCACATTTGTACATTGGTTACCCACATGATTCTCAAAACATTTGCTCTCCACGTAAGCCTCTGGCATCAGCTCCTCATTTTCCCCCCTCTCTCTACCCTCCCCCCTCCCTCATGAATACTCGATACTTTATAAATTATTATTTTGTCGTATCTTACACTGTCCAACGTCTCCCTGCACCCACTTTTCTGTTGTCTGTCCCCCAGGGAGGAGGTTATATGTAGATCCTTGTAATTGGTTCCTCCTTTCTACCCATTCACACATTTTTATTAATTTAATGTATTTATTTTCAACCCCCTCCCTACCCCCATATCTCTTCCAGTGGACTTAGATCGTGAGATATTATGTACTCTGCAGGAACAGAACTTGTAGCGCATGAATTTTGCCCGTTAGTATTCCAGTCATTAAAATGAATTAGAAAATGCTGTGCTAGCCATAATAAGGTTTTAATTCCGGCTACTTTTGTAAATTCACCAAAGCAGCAGCTTATGAGCCTAAAAGGAGACCATCCCTCAGGCTACATTGCAGATATTAAATAACTCAAAAACAAACAAACACTGCCATCAGTGGGTTCAGACTCAGAGACCCTCTCAAGACCAGTAAAACTGCCCCTGTGTGTTTCTGCGACTGCAATGGGAGTAGAAAGTCTCATCTTTCTCCCTTGGAGCTGCTGGTGGTTTTAAACTGCTCACCTTGTGGTCAGCAGTCCAATGTGTATGTTTAAAAAATGATTCTAGCTAAAATGTGTCCCATTCTTAAGCTTACTCTGCCCCCACATTCTCCCAGAGTTTGTATGGATCTGATTTCATGCTACACTAACTGCCATCAAGGTGAGTCTGGCTCATAGCAACCCTGGGACCAGGTGAGTCTGGCTCATAGCAACCCTGGGACCAGGTGAGTCTGGCTCATAGCAACCCTGGCACAGAGTAGAACTGCCGGTGGCTTTTCAAGGCTATGGGAGGTCCAGAAAGCTTCATCTTTCTCCTGCCGAGCGACTTGTGATTTCAAACTGCTAAGCTTATATAACCCACTACACCACTAGGGCTCCTTGATTCTATGCTTAGTCCCAAATTACTCTTTCTTACTTACTTCCAGCCATGCTCTGATGGTTACAGAACTGGTTTCTACTTGCATCATGAGTCTTAGAACTGCGCTCCTTAGGATGTCCCTGGAAGTTCTCCATTATGCAGCCCTATTTCAATTCATCAACTTCACTTGTCGTACAGGAGTCCGGTTAGCGGTCAACTTGAGAGTGGTAGTGCAAGCTGTGTCCCACTCCGCCCCCAAGCTGCTCATCAGGCGAAAGATGAGACCACCTTCTCTCATTAAGATTTACAGCCTCCTCAGAAACTCTAGCTAAAACCCTATATAATGTCCCTATGGGTCGGCATCACTTGACGGCTGAGGGTTTGGTTGGGGTTCCCTTAGTACAATTGGTGGTTCAAACTTGTCGGTCAGAGATGTGTCCATTTGCTTCCACAGCCCCAGAAACACTATGGGGCAGTTCTGCTCTACCCTAAAGGATTGCCAGGAGACCGGGGGTGGGGGTGTCACATCTGACTTCTGCTGGCTTCAGTAGGGAGGAGAGAATCCAACGCTACACCAGCCCACAGCTGACTGCACCCGGGGCAGAGGCCAGAGGCCAGAGGCCAGAGGCCAGACATGCTCTCACCTTCCACCTGTTCTGACACCAGCTCTCCCACTACTCAGCTGGCTTTGATAATCAGTAGCAATGGCCACACAGCACCTGCCGACAGTACTCAACAATTAGCCTTATTAGGGGAGTTAACAGGTTGCCACAGCCAGGACCAGAAAGCATTAAAGACACAATGGCTGGTTCTCAGCAATGCTGCTTCTTACCCAGCAGCCAATTGTCTCTCTCATCCTCAATCCCTTGGTCACAGAGTCCCTTTGGTCTCTGACTCTGTGGGCCAAGAAGCCTGCCTTCCACTTTGCCACATCATCTCATGGTCTCACAAACTTTGCTGTACCTCAGTGTGGCTCCCTTGTTCTGTTTTGTGGTCTTGCTGCTACAGGGATATTGCACATGCTCCACTGGTAGCTGTTCTTTCTTTATAGGTTGTACCTGTTTCTGAGATGGCTCTTCTCAGAGGAATGACAAAACCGATCCAATCCCTGAGTTAGAGTCTTCTTGTGCTAGTTACATAATCTCATTAACTTGAGGGTATTAAGAGTGAAGGGGTGGAGTCTAGCCTGTCAGTCAGGTCACAGTGTGATGACACCTACTTGTGGGTGTGCCGTTTCATGAGGATTCTGGGACCTTCCTCTCTTCTTCCCTGGAGGCAGCACACACACTCTCTCTGTTCACCTTCCTGTTGCCAAGACACATGGAGCCACACTGATGGCAGCCAGAGCCCTGGAGATGGATCCACAAGACTTTTTATCTACCGGCCTGTGATCTTCCTGCATTTGGCATCATTGCAAGTGCTGCATGAATCTAAAGAATATATGGACTAGTATCCAACATGAGCTTATAACGGACTTACGGACTTGATCTGCGCTGGGCTGGGGTATTTACTCAATATACAATTGTTCTTTGATATAAAGCTCTCTCACATATATATATGGCTATCCCTGGGTTTGTTTCTCTAGTTAACCCAGTCTAACACCCTTTACACCTTATTTTCATGATACCAACCTCTGGTGGGAGTTGCAGAGAAATGGATAGAAGAACCATAAGTACGTAATTGATTTTACTTCACTACAGTTGCTATGAAATGGAATCAACTGGGAAACAACTCTTTTACTTTCTTTTTTGAGTCACTTCTATTGGGCTTAATGGGGGCTACGTAAAAAGATATTTTTACACCCTAAATTCCAAAATTTGTGAATGTGAACTTAATTGGGAAAAGGCCCTTGTAGTACACAAGAATAAGTGCTCGTGAAATGTTGATGCGTTGGACGAAACTTTTGTAAGCCAGTGTTTACTTCTAGCCACTATCATATTTACCTCTGCTGTGTACTTGTGACTCTAGCATTTATTTGGATGATTCGGTGTTTTTTTGTTATGAACCAATCTACATTTTTAGCAGATGACAAACTAAGATCTTACTGTACGTTGTACCTGTTAGTCTGTGGTCTGTGCTGCAATAAATCCATTTCTTCTGTGTGACATTACAGCATGCTAAAAGCTGTAGTTTATTCAGCCATTGCTCTTTTTTCCACCAGACTTTATTATTCTGCTCACTTTCAGTTTGGTCACTTTCCTCTTAACAAAATTTAGGAAAATCAATGATTTTGAGGGGAATAAGTGTGGAAGAGGACATTTTGACCATCAATGGGCAGATAGAAGGAGCTTGGGAAATAGGAACTTAAGAAAAGTAATAGCTCTTTGTTTGACAAACTCACTTTTAAAAAAAATTTAAAACATTCATGGGAATTATTTTGTGTGGCGCTGTTGGGTGAGCATTAGACTATTAGCCACAAAGTCAGTGGTTGAGACCTACCAGCCACTCTGGGAGAATGATGAAACTAGCTGCTCACATCAAGATTTACAGTCTTGGAAACCCTCAATAGTATTTGTGAGTTAGAATCAACTCTGAGTTGGAATCGACAATGAATTGGTGTCAACTCAATACTACTAGGTATATTTATACCTCAACATAAAACAAAAGCACAACTGGACCAATAAACATCCATAATGAACAGAGAAAATAATGTTGTAGAGCATTTTAACTTGTATCCACAACCAGTGGAGATTGGCGGTAAGGAAGTCATACCACTTAACTGCACTTGCGCAATCTATTGCAAAATACATTCTGAAAACGTTACAAAGCAAAGATGTAATTTTGGAGACTTTCAGGTGTGCTTGACTCAATCCATGGTATTTTCAGTGTGCAGGAGAAAGCTAAACAAAGAATAAGACCACAGAAAGACTGATAGCTTTGAATTAAGAATATCAAGTAAACCATGGATTACCCATAAAACTGATTGATCTGTCTTGAAAGAACTACAGTGAGATGTTCCTTAGAAATGAGGAGAACAAAACTTCATTTCACGTACTGTGGACATGTTACCAGAAGGGACAAGGTCCGGGAGGAAGGCATTGTGCTTCCTAGAGCGTCAAAGAAAAGAGGAAGACCCCCAATGAGATGGACTGAGACAGCTGTAACAAAAGCTCAGCCATAGCAACCAACGTGCGGATGACCTCGGATTGGACAGTGTCTCTGTTGGCGCATAGGGTAGCTATGTGTTGGAACTGACTTAACAGTACCTAACAAAAACAACATAAGATGTAATCTATGTTGGAGATAAGATATAGGAAGGGGCTTCAAGAGTCATGGAGAAATAGAAGTAAAAGATAATGGAAGATTCCCATGATCTTTTTTTTAAAGAATTGTTAATATCTTTATTAAAATTTTTAGAAAATAGTGGAAAGAACATTTCAAAATTCCTATATATTGATGAAGTAGTAAAATGAAATTTACTATCAGAAAATTGAGTGGAAATTAAGGAAT